GTAAGAAGAAAGACTCCTTTTTTTTTTATTAATTAAAGAGCTATTATTTACAAAGTTACTAATAGTCGAATTTTAGGAATTCAATAACTCCACACCAATTCCTGAACCAGTGTTACTTTCCCTCCACCGGTGTTCCCAGATTCCCTCCTCAACCCCAACCCCACTCCACCCCCACCTGTCAACTTGATCAGCAGACAGGCAGATGGCCAGTAGGCACATGAAAACAAGCTCAGCATCACTTACCATCAGAGAAATCCGAATCATGAGATGCCATCTCACACCAGACTCCATGTGTGAGATACCATCTTGACTGCTAAAAACTGGATGTGGTGATGAGACTCTGAACCCCGGTGATATACCAAAGGTGCCGAAATAGATGAGCCCTCCTCCCCACACCTTGCTCTCAGAGCTAAGTAAGGCTCACAGCCTTTGGGGCCTTCAAAGCCTCAGACTCTCCACACTGCCAGCAGCAGCAAAGAAGGACCCAAGGGTCCAAGCAGGGAAAGTGTCTCAACTTTGAAATCATACAGGTCTCCAGTGCACAAGCAAGCACCTTCACAGAGAAGTGTCCGTACATGCACCCAAGGCAGAAATCTGGGATTTCACCAGCCAGAGTCTTGCACATGCTGAATCTGGCCTCAGTCGCTCTATGGTCCCCTGTAGAATAATACTGGTTTGTCCTTTCCGCCTTGCCACAGGGGATTTAGGTTTATTGGGTTGCTCCCATCACAGTGCTTCCATTCCTCTGTGTTTATTTGTAACCTCTTTCTGTGTGCTCTGTTAACTTGTAAATATTGTTTTTCTCTTCTCCTTAAGTCCTTCGCATAGTTAATTCAGAGTAAAATCCTTTTTGTATGGACACAGAAAAACAGTTAATGCTATGCTTTTGTAAGCTGGGAGTTAACTGACTCCAAATGAGAGTCAATTTGCGGCATTTGTTCTCTCAAGTTAAGCGTCAGTTGCCCTTACTTCCTGGCACCCCAAAAGCAGGGTCCTGATGAGGGACTGGAAGGATCCAGGGCAAGCAGTGAAGTACCCTGGCATTGAAATGGGCCTGGCCAAAGCACCATAGTACTTAACTTTAAGTGAAGAGCATGATCATGGACAAATTCTGCCATGATCCAAAAAAGTAATAACTAGATTCAAACCCTGCTAGGGTTAAGAATGATTAATCTGGCCTGAGCACTGTAGTCTGAGTCTGTGGTGAGATGTCCTAGGAGAGCCACCCTACAACCTCAATCTATTTCTTACTGTGTCCATACAAAATAACTAATATTAAGAAGTAGAATTAAGATGTTAATTACGATGTTAATTAAATTATTGGACTAAGGAGAGCAGAAACGCCCCTAAGTGGTATTTTGCCCATGAACAAAGGAAGAGCTTTCTCCTGCTGACTTTGCAACCAGGGTGTGGTGTCTAGCTCCAATGCAGAGTTGGAGAGAGACAAGAGAGACAAGGATAGCAAGGTGGAGTGCAGAGAGACTAGCAAGGGGGTCAGAGGGAGAAGAATGTAGGGGAAGAATGCAGGAGCAGGCACGTGGAGAGACGAGAGCCGTGGCTGCAAGAGGGAGTACAGAGAGATGAGCAGAAGAGACAGGAGGAGATGGGAATGAGGGGCAGTGTGATACTAGAATGGAGAGCTTAGTGAGACTGGAACAGGCGCGTGGGGGAAATGGAATAAATGGCAACTAATCATCAACCAACTTGGTCCTCGTTTCCTCCTTCATCCGCCCCATGGCATGGGCCACCCTGGGTGGGGGAGCAGCCCGAGTACACCAAACACAGGCAGCGAGAGGGAGAGCTGTGCAGGGCTTTCCCCAGCTGCCCAGAGATTACACAGTCCTCTGAGTCCTACCAGGAGCAGTCACTGAGCACAGAGCCAGGAGTAAGTCCTGAGCACGTCTAGGTGTGGCTCCCAAACAAGAACAAACGAAAAATCTGGCATTTAGACAAAAGACCAGTAATTTTAGTAAACAACAGTAGGAGTCTTTACAACTATATACCCCTATAGCTCAGCTTCAGATTCCCTGGAGTGCTGGGAATCAAATGAGAACTGAGCTTGACTCCCAGCACCCAACAGCCTAAGCACCAAACTATCAGACCAAGTATTGCTAGAAGTGGTTCCTAGTGACCAAGAGCACCTGGAACAGTGGATCGCTCAAAAAAAGCATATATATATATATATATATATATATATATATATACATTTATATACATATAAAGCACTGTAGCACTGTCTCCTGTTGTTCATCGATTTGCTCAAGAGGCACCAGTAACATCTCCATTGTGAGACTTGTTACTGTTTTTGGAATATCTAATATGCCATGGAGAGCTTGCCAGGCTCTGCTGTGCAGGCAGGATACTCTCGGTAGCTTGCTGGGCTCTCCGAAAGGGATGGAGGAATAGAACCCGGGTCGCCTGTGGGCAAGGCAAATGCCCTACCCACTGTGCTATTGCTCCAGCTCATCATAAATACGTACAATTAAATATCACTAGTAGTTTTAGGAAAGGAAATTCTATGGTGATAGCTCAGGGCACAGAAGCACACATCTGGATACACAAATCCCTGTATCTAATTACCTATAGCCATGGCCCCCAGAGCACCACAAGGTGTACTCTGGAGGACCCCCACTATCAGAGCACTCAGTTGGCCAAATTATCATGGAGTGCCCTCCAGAGTCCTTAAGTGCTGCTTGGAAGCATCCCCTGTTCCAGTAAAGAAAATTCTGCCATATGTTACAACATAGATGAGTCTTGAGTACATAATGCAATATGAAACAAGCCCACATTGTACAGTTCCACTAATATGTGGTCCTTTGAAGAATCAAAATCATTTGTACATTACGTAGAATGGAGACTACCAGGGGCTATGAAGAAGGGAAAAATGTGTAATTCGTTCATGAGTACAGAGTTTCAGTTTTACACAAAGTTAATGGAAACAGGTGTTGGTGTTGATTGCACAACAATGTAAATGTAGTTAATATCACTGAAAGAAGTTTGATGGTAAATTTTATGCTATTATTCATGTATATCTCCATAAAAATAGAATGTTTAGTAATGATAATATTCTCAAATATATACCAAGATATAAATACAATGGTAGTTCTTCTTTTTAAGTCAAATATAATAATAAGTAAAAATTATCCAAAGAAAAAGACAGAGAAACTGGTAGGAAAAAAACAAACATCAAATATGCAAAGCAATGACAAATAGAAAAAGATGAGATGGTAGTAACTGAGTCCCATATACCAATAATCAGCTGAGGGGCTGGAGTGATAGCACAGCAGGTAGGGTGTTTGCCCTACATGTGGCCAACCTGGTTAGATTCCCAGCATCCCATATGATCCCCTGAACACTGCCAGGAGTAATTCCTGAGTGCAGAGTCAGGAGTAACCCCTTAGAATCACCAGGTGTGACCCAAAAAGCAAAAATAATAATAATAATCATCTGAAATACCAATGATCTGAACTCACAGTCACAATTTCTCAATGAAAGATTGGAGTAAACTACTGAAAGTGTGTAACTAACACAGAGACAAAGGCTAAACAGAATAGAGAAGTGTCTTTTCTAAGTTCAGCTGAGTATAAATCTGCTATTAAAAAGATGAAGCCATCCATGTCTTTGACAAAAATAAGAATGGAAGTTGAGGTGATCATGTGAAATTCTCTGATGATTATCTTTAATTTCCCTTAGTATGTACAATACAAATAATCAAAACAAATTGGCAAAATCCAACAAAACCAGTTCTTATGTGAAAACCATGACAGTTACTGAGGGAAAGAAAAGAGGAGAAAGGGAGAATTAGGGTAATGAAATGATATTAGAAAATTTGTTGGAGGGAAGTGGTGAGACTTACACACAGAGGTGTGAATCTGTATTCATAAAATCTTACAGAATTGCTAACTCATCAAGAGTGTTCATTGTCTGAGACAGAAAAACTACAGTCACTAACATATCCTCATTTGCAGAGTATAACTCATAAAAATTAAATTTGGAAGATATCAAAGGTTAGCTTTGTACCGATGTAGAAAGATAGCTTATCATATTCTGAGCTATTAGCTTTTGAAACTACAGGTAATGAAAATAAATTAATCTTTGTATCTTTTTCTCTCCAATGTTTTTGAAATTTCTCAGCATTATGGTCATATCACTTGGGGCTTAAGTCTGTCCCTGCAATTTGGAAACCAAATACATAAGATGACTGGGTTTCCTTCAACTACATACATTTCTGACCTAGTTTATGAAAACCCTGGACAACCACAGGAAAACGTACATGTTAAGATAGTGTTAATCAGCACAGCAAGAGCTGTTAATTATATATTCCACATATATTCATATATTCCACAGACAACATTTACTGGAACAAAAAAATAATAATGATGGGTGATTTGAGGAGTGTCTGGCCACAAAATTCTTCATGACAAAAGACCACAAGGGTGGTTATGAATAAGCTCCTTTCCCAGCCTCAATTCCTCAGTTACTTGTGTCCTAGTTCTCTTTCTCTGGGTCTAATGCTTTTATCACGGTCATTTCAGAGCCAAAGGATTCTTAGAACGGATATCGCACTGCATCTTCACATCTCACTAATGCAATGCACTGGTCTATTTCATTGCCTTGCTGTGGTCATGGGATTGGCTCATTAGTTTGTTGTTCCCGTTATTATGAGTGTACTTGAATAGTCACTCTTCAGTAGTCATTCTTCTAAAACTAAAATTGGATGTTCAGATTGCAATTATTCGACAACTGCCACAATTTCCATCTGACTTGAGACTCACTTAAGACCATATTCTAACCATCTACAGGGAAGGAAGACATTCAAATAAAAATACAGAAATGATTTTTTTAAGTTAGCAAAAGAGAATATAATGAACCTCTTTCTTCAACACTACTGCAATATAAAAAATTTTGAGCTCAAAGAATAAACATTTACTAAGATGGCAATTAATTCTCTCTCTAAAGATAGCCAGGATGGATAAGTAAGAAGTTGGTAACAAACTCACCATCTCTGCGATTAAGACTTGCAAACCCAGGGCCATGGCTAGGGGACAGCTCTGAGGAGCTGCTGAAGGACCCCCGGGGCAGGGTGGATGCCAGTGGCTCCTCACAGCTATCTGTGGAGATATGATGCATTTAAGTTAATACCGTGATTAAAGAATCCTTCCTTCTTTCTCCCATCCCTCATACCCTATCTTTCTTTTTTTTTTAAATTTTATTGAATCACCGTGAGATAGTTAATAGCTTTGATGTTTGGGTTACAATCACACAATGGTCAAACACCAGTGCACATTCCCCACCAACAATATCCGTGGTTTACCCCCACTTTCCCATACTCCCCCTGCCTCCATGGCAGACAATATTCCCCATAATCTCTCTCTACTTTGGGGCATTATGGTTTGCAATACAGACACTGAGAGGTTATCATGCTCGGTCCTTTATCTACTTTCTGCACACATCTCCCATCCCGACCAATACCTTCAGCCATCATTTCCTTAGTGTTCCCTGTTCTATTCCAACTGCCTTCTCCCCTTTGCTCATGAGGCAGGCTTCCAGTTATGGAGCAACCTACCAGTCCTGTCATGCCCTATCTTTCATTTGAGGTAATAAGCTAGGAAAATGTCAGAACCAAGAGCAAACATCAGTATTCAACATATCCATGATAGATGATGTCAATGATATTAAGGAAAATCAAAACCCAGATCGGGGGCTGGAGCAATAGTACAGTGGGTAGGGCATTTGTCTTGCACACGGCTGACCCAGATTCAATTCCAAGCATCCAATATCATACCCCAAGCACTACCACGAATAATTCCTGAGTGCAGAGGCAGAAGTAACCCCTGTGCATCTCCAGGTGTGACTCAAAAAGGAAAAAAAAATACAGATAGTGGTAGAAGAGATAGCACCATGGTAGGACACTTGGCTTACATGTGGCTGATCCAGGCTCAACTTCCCAGCACCCTAGATGGTCCCCTGAGCACCACTAGGAGTAATCCCTGAGTATAGCGCCAGGAGTAAGCCTTGAGCACCACCAGGTGAGGCCCCCAAACTAAAAACAAACAAATCTCAATAGGCAACATTTGACATTTTCCTTGAGGTGAATGCTCCTAACATGGTCATTTCAGAGCTATCAATATTTTTCTGGCAATGCTATTGGAAAGACATGTGCACACATCACATATATTTCTATGCAGGTACAAGACGTGCTAGTAGCCTCAAAAGCTTAGGTAATCGAAAAATGAAATGAAAAGAAAGTAGTGAGGCTGAAGAGATAGTACAGCAGTAGTACTATCTTGCTTGAAGCCAACCCAAGTTCAATCCTTGGCATACCATAAGGCACCCTGAGTACCACCAGGACTGATTTCTGAGCACAGAGCCAGGAGTGACCCTGAGCACAGCCAGATATGACTAAGCCCCACCTCAACATCCGCCAACACAAAATAGCAAATATTGATTCAGAGAGTCTACTACTTTCATTTTTACTTTTAACTTCAAGTCTAAATAATTTCATTTTAATATGGATGCATTCCAAAAGCTAGCTAACATATTTTGCAAGTTAATGATTGGCTCTTTCTAGCTCTCTTAAGTTTGCTTCTACCACATGGCTCCTTGATGTCGAATAGTATTTCCTTTAAAACCAGGTTAAAGTCATTGCTATTTTTACTGAAAACAACCCGGAAACTCATATCAATGCATAAGAGAAAATCAAGGAAATTGAAATCAGGGAATATGGGGAGAGTAAGTTTCCAAATGATGTGATTGTGTAATAAGAATATTCAAGGTCTGCGCGGGACGGGCACGGAAGCCCAGCTCTGGGCAACCAAGTAAACGGCTCCTATTCCAACCAGGTACAGCCTGCCCCCAAGGGCCTGGGACCCTCTGTGCGCATGCCCAGCTAGCTCCACCTCCTAGAAAGCCGGTTTTACCCCTGGTCTGCGCGGGACGGGCCCGGAGGCCCAGCTCTGGGCAACCAAGCGAACGGCTCCTATTCCAACCAGGTACAGCCCGCCCCCAGGCCTGGGACCCTCTCTGCGCATGCACAGCTAGCTCCATCGACGTTCCCAACTCCTCGCTCAGTGCCAGGGACTCTTTCCGGAGCCGCTACATATGCCATAGGAACCATAAGCTACCTTCTTCGATGGAAAGTTCTCTAGTTTAACTCAGTCACTAGAAACACAGTAGCCAATAACTCATAAGCCTATCTTAACTCACACTGCATATCAAGCAGTATAGTAACAGTGAATGTTAAGGACTAAACCACAGTTTTCACAATGGTAAAGCAACGCAAAAGCCCACCAAACTTTCTTATTGAAGAGTCTAGCCCAGATGACACCAACAGTACTGCAGTGTTAGACAACCTCTCTGACAAGGAATTCAGGAGGGAGCTACTTAGGATGCTTAGGGAACTAAAAGAAATAATGGAAAGCAATGCCAATAGAAGACAAGAGGATTTGAAGGCAGAAATGAGGAAAATGCAATCAGAAATGTCAGACCTGAAAAATCTCATAGGCGAATTGAAAAACTCAGTGGAAGGCCTCAGCAGCAGAGTAACAGCTGCTGAGAACAGAATCAGTGAGCTCGAAGATGAAGTTCAGAGACTCTCCAGAAAGGAGCAGAAAATGGAAAAGAGACTCACAATTCGGGAACAGATGGCAAGAGAAGATCGTGATGAAGCCAAGAGGGGTAACATAAGAATTATTGGAGTCCCAGAGGTACAGGAAGAAAACCTTGATGAAGAAGAAACTGTCAAAGACATCATTGCTACAACGTTTCCAGAGCTGAAGAAAACTTGTGACCATATTCAGGAGGCCTGAAGGGTACCAGCTAGAAGAAATCCGAATAAAAATACCCCAAGACACATTCTGATCAAAATGACCAAAACCTTAGGCAGAGACAAAATTCTGAAAGCAGAAAGATCGAAGAAAGAAATCTCTTACAAAGGAGCATCCTTAAAATTCACAGCTGATTTTTCTGATGAAACCCTTATGGCCCGAAAAGTGTGGTGGGACATAGTAAAAAAACTCAATGAAATAAATGCCTCCCCAAAAATACTTTACCCAGCGAGACTCTCATTCATAATAGAAGGAACAACACACAGTTTCACAGACAAACAACAGCTCAGGAACTTCATAGACTCAAAACCGTGGTTACAAGAACAACTAAATGGGCCACTTTAAGGCAAGAAAGGCTCCTCAAATACACCAAATTTCAACAGAACAATGGGACAAAATCCCATAACAATAATCTCTCTCAATGTCAATGGGCTAAACACACCAATTAAAAGACATAGAGTGGCAGGATGGGTTAGAAAATTGAACCCAACATTCTGCTGCCTGCAAGAAACACATCTCAATAGTCAAAGCAAACACAGACTCAGAGACAAAGGCTGGAAAACAATCCTACAGGCAAACAGCTCCCAGAAAAAAGCTGGGGTAGCCATCCTAATATCAGACCACATCGATCTCAGAGTGAGGAAGGTCATAAGAGACAGTGAACGTCATTTCTTATTGATCAAAGGATCATTACAACAGGAAGAACTTACAATAATAAATGTATATGCACCTAATGAGAGACCAGCAAAGTACTTAAAACAACTACTCATAGATTTGGAAAAAGACATCAACAGCAACACAATTCTAGTGGGAGACTTCAACACTGCTTTGTCACCTCTTGATAGATCAACCAGACTCAAGCTTAGCAAGGACATACTTCATCTGAGGGAAACAATAGAAGAAAGGGACTTAGTAGATATATACAGGACACTTCATCCTCAAAAAGCTGAATACACATTCTTCTCAACCGTACATGGAACATTCTCCAAGATAGAGCACAGGCTGAGAAACAAAACATGCCTCCAAAAAATTAAGAAGATAGAGATTGTATCGACAATCTTCTCAGACCATAATGCGCTGAAATTAAAAGTAAATCACATACAAAAACAGAAAACTAAATCAAAAACCTGGAAATTAAACAGTGCTCTTCTGAAGAACGAGTGGCTTAGACAGGAACTCAAAGAGGAAATCAAAAGATTCCTAGAAACGAATGAAAATGAGGACACGAGTTACCAAAACTTATGGGACACAGCAAAAGCTGTGTTAAGAGGAAAGTTTATAGCTCTACAAGCATTCCTCAGGAAGGAGGAGCGAGCACACATGAGTAACCTAACCTCACAGCTTAAGAGCTTGCAGAAGGACCAAAGAAAAGGAGCACAACCCGAATAGGAGAAAGGAAATAATAAAACTCAGAGCAGAGATTAACGAGATGGAAACCCAAAAAACAATCCGAAAGATCAATGAAACCAAGAGCTGGTTCTTCGAGAAAATTAACAAGATTGATAAGCCTCTAGCAAAACTCACAAAGAAAGGGAGAGAGAAAACCCTAATAAACCGAATCAGAAATGAAAAGGGGGTCATTACAACAGCAACTACAGAAATTCAAAGGATCCTCAGGGAGTACTTTGAGAAGCTTTATGCCACGGAACATCAAAACCTCGAGGAAATGGATAAATTCCTAGATTCCTACAGACTCCCAAGGCTGAACCAAGAAGACCTGGAATACCTGAACAGACCTATCACCATGAAGGAAATTGAAATGGTAATAAAAAGTCTCCCCAAGCACAAAAGTCCTGTTCCGGATGGATTCACTAGTGAATTTTTCCAAATCTTTAAAGAGAACTTACTCCCAATCCTCTTTAAGCTTTTCCACGAAATTGAAATATGAAAAACACTTCCAAACAGTTTCTACAAAGCAAATATCACACTGATACCAAAAGCAGACAGAGATACCACAAAGAAAGAGAATTACAGACCGATATCCCTGATGAACACAGATGCAAAGATCCTCAACAAACTACTAGCAAATAGAATCCAACTACTCATCAAAAAGATCATACACCATGACCAAGTAGGATTCATCCCAGGGATGCAAGGATGGTTCAACATTCGGAAATCGATCAACATAATCCATCATATCAACAAAAGAAAAGATAAAAAGCATATGATTATATCAATAGATGCAGAGAAAGCATTTGACAAGATCCAGCACCCCTTTATGATGAAAACCCTAGCCAAAATGGGAATAGAGGGGACCTTCCTCAACATAATTAAAGCCATCTACCACAAGCCTACAGCAAGCATCATCCTCAATGAGGAAAAACTGAGAGCCTTCCCCCTAACGTCAGGGACGAGACAAGGATGCCCACTCTCTCCACTGCTGTTCAATATAGTACTGGAAGTACTTGCAATAGCGATAAGGCAAGAAAAAGATATTAAGGGCATTCAGGTAGGAAAGGAAGAAATCAAGCTCTCACTATTCGCAGATGATATGATACTATACTTAGAGAACCCAATAACCTCCACCAAAAAACTCCTAGAAACAATAGACTCGTATAGTAAAGTTGCAGGCTATAAAATCAATACCCAAAAGTCCATGGCATTCCTATATGCAAACAGTGAGAGAGAAGAAAGCAACATGAAAAAAACAATCCCA